GACAATAAAGCCAATTTAAATTGACCACGATTCAATGTTGGAAAGCAAAAAAAGGAGGAAATCGCACAGCCACAGAAATAAGACTTGTGAATTCAACAAGGATGATTAAACCAGCAAACAGAAAAATAACTGCTCAACGGTTTAAAGCCAGAAACAGCAGAATAATAATAATCCAAAACCAGACACACAGCCAAACGTTTCACAAACCAAAACCACGAGCAGCTTATTTGCCATCATTTAATTTATTTTTTTAATCAAAAACACTCCAGCAGAATGTTTGATTTGATCATAGAAAACGTACAGACATTTGTCTAAATCGAAAAATAGAACTCTCTTTGAATACAGAATCAGTCATTCAATCTTCAGTGTGCCAGAAAAAAAACAATAATAAAAAAAAAAGACTATTTTCCCTTCACCGTAAACATTTAAACACACAAAGACGACAACAGTTGAGAAGCAGCAGATAAAGACATAAACGGCAAATCAACAGTCAGATGAGGCGACAACAGAAGAATTTAAATCAGGTTCTTCATCTCATTTCAGAAACTGGACTCCTTTTTTTTAAATCACATATTGATGATTATTTCTCAGCTTCTACAGGTTTCACTCTGGATGCAGGTTCACAAAACATCACAGTACTGAAACTACACAGTTTGGAGAGAAGCATGATGTAAAATTTCTAATATTTCTGACAAAGGAGTGTTTTTTTATTTTTTTGGTTTCATCATAAAATATTTAACTGAGTCGTGCAATTTGTCCATTCCTCCAAACGTCTGGGAGTTTTCAAAATACTGATGAGAGAACAAACAAAATTCAGCCTGTTAGCGCATGATAAGTGAGTGGATGCACCGCCAAATTCAAACCACCGGGAGGCAGCACAATCAAGGCACATCAAACATGTTAAAGGACCACTGCATCAACAATGTCTGACTTTGCATAGAAACAAAATAAAAAGGATGAAAGTGGCCTGAGGCGCCAAAACCAAGAGTTTTTAGCGATTTATATAAATGTCAGGTGGTAAATAAGAGCAGAAAACATTTTCCTGCTGCTACTGAAACCTCCGAAACTTTGGGTTCAGGCGCTTCAGACCACCTCTGTCTCCTGAAACAACGGCTGAAAGAAAATGAAACAAGCAGGTTTTTTCAAGTACTGTTTCCATCTCATGTGCTTGTCGCGCTCGAGCTGAACTCCTGCTGCAGAGTCCTTCATGAGTGAATATAATTTAAACAAACTAAATCTGTGAATCAGTTAAATAACTCCACCTCAATGCCCCGAGAAGGCTTCAGAACGGCACTGGCAACGCGTATGTTGTGCAAAAAACATGTAGAAAAGAAAGTCCTCTCGTGGGGAAACTGATTTTGGTCAACAGTCGTGGCATAAAACACAAAACATGGAATAATCTGCATGTTTGCTGTGACTCTGTAGGCACATCAGAGCTTTTAAATCCATCTTTTTTGGTCCTCAAACTGAGCCGCCGCCGCCGCCGCCACCGTCCTGACAGCTTGTGCTCGTCTTAATGTGAAACTCGTCCTTCTGTCTTTCTCACAGGACAGTTTGCTAATGTTCCCCGATGGTTTCTTGTGGCGAGGAGAAAGAATGAGGGCGCCCTGTCAGGATCACAACGCCGCCTACCTCATGCAGCATTAAACAAGTCGATATCTCCCCCTCCTCTTCCTCTTCCTCCTCCTCCTCCTCCTCCTCCCTCTGTCCACTCACTCTCTGTTTTAACCAGCCTCCAACCCCCCTCCCCACCCCTCACCCTCGTTTAAGGCTCCTCAGTGCTGGTTTCACTTTGAATCTGGTTGAATTTAAGCAGACAAATGAAAAAAAAAAGCTTCAAAACATGCATTGCAATTTCCTCTATGTGACTTAAAGCTCAGTGTTAAGGACACCTCGGTGATGATCATTGATAAATTCAGCTCTGCAGAGCACTGTAGCACTGGACGAATGCATGAAAGCAGCAGCAAAGGAGGAGGAGAAGAAGAGTGGTGTGGAGGGATGGAGGGAGGGATGGAGGGAGGGATGGAGGGTGCAGCAGCATGAAGCACATCGAGGCAAAAAAACACATCAATCAACCGACCGGGAGCAGAGCTGCAGGACAGAGCAGGAGCCACAGCAGCTGTCTGAGGGAGGAAACCCACCAGCAAACACTCAAACACCGGCCACAGCAGTTTGTTCTGTTCAGTCGCTCCAGAACCTGGACGTTTTTCTGGCGCTAGATGTTGTAATTTTATATTTTAGAGGCACCACTTTCCACAGGATGTCTTGTATTTCTGCCAGCGATACACAAATGTAGAAAAAAAACAGCACCAAACAATAAAAAACTGGACCCTGTGATAAAAGGCGCCGTAAACAACCCGAGTGATAATTAGTCATGCAGATGGTTCAGCTTTCATTTGAGCGGCTTTTAATGTCTCTGAGAAGTCTGCCTAAACCACAATAACAGTTTAGAGAACGAAGCAAAGAACGCAAAATATCAAAAAGCAGCATCACTTGGTGTTGTCGTCGCTCTGGATGATCCACTGTGGACAATCAGTGTTCATTAAAACTACTTTAAGAAGCAGTCCTGATATAAACGGACGTCTTTTCACAACCAGAAGCACAAACAAACAAATCTGCATGATTAGGTTCATTTTGTCCACTCTGATTATAGGTATCAGGTTTCTTTTTTTTTTTTATCGGGAGCTGTTTTTACCTTTGACGAATCACTTCAGTCTTCCTCAGAAACGTCGCTTACGTCTGTGGTGACGTGTCTTTATCAGGAAACCAGAAAACCTTCAGCTGATACCACACACAGGCCTAAGTTTCTGAGGAAGACTGAAGTAACAAGTCCAAACATGTCAAAAAACAGCTTCTATCTAAAAAATACTCATTGTCTGATAAAAAAAAAAGAAACCTCATACCTCCAAACAAATCTGCGTTCATTGATTCTCGAGGCGACAGAGATTTTAAAACCTGCTCAAAGAAATAAAACAATTACGAGTAATTAAAGCCTGAGCGATGGTGGACTTCTAGGGCTGATATCAATTTTCTGTAGTCAGAAATTCTGATATTGTTTATACATGTTGATGAACTTTTAAGCACTGTAAATCACTAATTAGTTCATCCTTTAATGTAAAGACACTGGTTGACTCTGCACCACCGTCTGCTCAGCTGTGTGCTCTGCTACATGTGCTGCAGGCTGAGCTGACAGCAAACAAAGGAGCTGCTATGTGATGACAGTTTCTAAGTGATCCAAAGCATCTTTTTCTGCATTATGTTTTCTACAAGAAAGTTTTCAGACTGGCGAATATCGGACAACATACACGCCGATACCGATACAGCTGTGATGGGCCAACATCGGCAGAAAACATACCGATATATCAGTCGGGCTTTACCAGTAGATATTTAATGAAAAACATAAAAATAAGACGCTAACATTTAGACGGCAAAAAGCAAAACAGGTGGAGAAGTGAGAAAACCTGGAGTTACTCAAACACATTTTCCATCAGTGGGTTTTTGTTGTTTCATTTCAACTGTGTTTCAGTGTTTCATGGTAGATTTCTTCCTTTAGTTCTGCAGCACTCCTGACATCATATCTACATTAGTATCCGTCTCCTCATCGGGTAGAAAACAGATGATGAAGCAGAAACAAACATGAATCTGATTACTCCGACTGCACGTCAAATTAAGTGAACACGGTTGTTTACAAAAAACCTGGCGTCTGTTTCATTAAATTCACAACACGCGAGCTGCAACTTTCAACGTGAGATCCATTTTCCCTCGTTTTAATTTGGTGCTTTTAACTCCCCCCAAAACAAACACGATGATTGTGACTCCTGTAGGAACACGCAGGAGGAATAATATTGCAAATTTATCTGCAGTTTGTGAGCGACAATCATTTGCGGGATGCCGGCACCGTTTAGAGGCTCCCAAACTGCTTTTTGTGAAACAGGACGGGAGCCATCGAGACTTTAAGGCAACAGATCTGAAACCGTCTGGGACTCGGAGCGAAAGCACAACAAACGCAGCCTCCCTCTGACGGGAAAGCAGGCACGCGAAACAAGCTGCAGGACGACCGCTCAAGTGGCTTTTTGATATGTGAAAATAAATATTACATGTGCTTTGCAGGGGTTGGTGTTAGTTACACTGGAGTAAGAAGTCACTAATGTGCCACGTCAAAGCAGATCAGCGTCCCAGACTCAACAACGCATCCGTGAAGAGCTAAGCTGAGACTTTTGGCCTTAACTGATTATTTGAGGCTTTCTGTGTTCAGTAAAACAGTCGCGGATGGACAGAGCCATGATGACATCTCTGCAACCTCACATGTACTGCAACACACACACACACACACACACACATAAACACACACACAGAGTTTTCATCGTACTGCAGAGAAGCCATGAAGGCAAAAACAATCAAATCCTTTTGCCGTTGCATAAGAAGCTGTAATTCTGGCTTCAGCGCAGAGAAAACATCGTCCTCCATGCAGCAGCAGCAGCAGCAGCGAACGAGATGAAAGGTTAAAGATGGTGATGGATTTACTGTCTGTGGAGGTTAAACGCTTTATCGTGAGATGATAAAACATGTCGGTCTGTTTCTGTTTTTGCGTGCCGACGGTCCACGGCCACAGAGTGTTCAACATGAAATAAATAGAGGCATTAAATTATAATAATTATGAATGAATTATTCATACGTTTTTAAGGCTTGGCTCAATATTATGACATTAAATCATGCTTCTTTTCACAGAGTTTATTGCAGGTCATTTCTACTTTTCTAGCAGTTTTGCTCAAAATGTCCTTTTTCTGAACACTAATTGTCATTTTATTTGATTTTTATCACTAAATTTAAAAGGTGATGTATTTTTTAAATGTTGTACACAAGCCAAAAACATAAAAATATATGTTTTAAGTTGTGATTGCCAGATAAAGACTTCAAAATAAAGACAGAAGTTGGAAAAGTTTTGAAATAGAAAATATCTGCAATAAATGCTCTTATTGTGAAAAGACGCACGAGCAACTCTGGTTAAAGCACCAAGTTTTCTGATTACATTTAAATGTGTTTCTGTGATCATTTATTTCACAGGTAATGATTTATTTATCTAATATTGAACACTCTGGCTCCCCCCACACAGCGCCTTGTTAGAAAACCTCGTCCAACATCACAGCGTCTTCAGATGTTTTTTTTTTTTCCAGTCTGCTGCTGAGAGGATCCGTTAGCAGATCCATGTAAATGAGTCTTACATCCATTGCTTTGCTCCTGTACCTGGACCCTTCTGATCTGAAATGCTCGACTGTGTTTAATCAACACCATCAGCCTCAAACAGCAGAGATGAAAGCTGGCAGCGCTGCTTGTTCGGTTCATCCAGTGATTAATCTCGACAGGCCTCCGTGTACTTCTGCCTGCAACGGACCGTATTCCACCACTTCTCCATCGACTGTTATTATCCCTTTGGGTGAGTACGGCTCCAGCCTCAGCGCTCTCACCTTAGTGTGCACCAGATGTTGACAGTTAGTGGCCAGATGTGCGCCCTTCTCCATGGCCAGAAACAGCCTCAGCAGCGCGGTGCGAGATATCCCAGCTCTAACGTAGAAAAGGTGAATGACGCCGTCGTCCAAGGCGGCGTCCGGTGCTGCCAGGAGGTCCTCGGCCAGGTGGGACTGGTACATGGCCAGCATGAGGACAAAGTCTTCCTCGGGCACCACCACCCAGTTGGCGGGCAGCGGCTGGTCCAGAGGCACCAGCAGGGAGTCGGGCGGGCCGGCGGGGGCTTTGGTGGCGCTTCGGGAAGGCGTGCTCTCCGACCTCCTCACTTTGAGGGAGTTGTTGGAGTGGCAGGAGTTGTGGAAAGTGTTGTTGCAGGACGAGTCTCTGGACGGTCGGCACAGGACGGGGGCTGGAGTCAGGGAGGAGGCCTGGTTGTTGCAGTGGCCCGTCGTGTTATTTCTCAAACCCTCCTGGTTGTTGTGCTGCTTGGTGGCGGGTAGGTAAGCCAGCTTGCCCTTGTAGACGCGGAGAGAAGCCAGCCTCACCAGGGTGCCGACGGTGAACCGGGCGGCTCCGACGTGACGGTACTTCTCGCTCTCTATGTCGACGTCGGCCACGAAGCCCCAGGCCAGAGAGAGGAAGGAGAAGAGACGGGGGCTGGAGGACAGATGGATGGAGACCAGGTCCATACGAGACACCAGGCCTTTACAGAGCAGGAAGCCACAGCTGACCAGGAGCTCCTCGCTGGACACCGGAGAGGCTCTGGAGGAGGAGAGATGGGAATTAAATGCTTGCTTTTAATTTTGTGAACCAGCAGTGACATAATTAGCAGCAACGGTGCTAAAATGTCAAAAAAACACAAAACAATTTCAAGTTTCTGCTTCTTAATTGTGATTATTTGATGCCTTCTTGATCTAAAGTGTACATTTTTGGGTTTTGGCATTTGAAGATGTCCCCTTAAGTTTTAGAAAATTTACTCTTTTTTTTTTTTAAAGACCAAACTATAAAACTATTCAACAAGAAAACAACCTGCAGATGAATTTATAATGAAAACAATCAGTCTGACAATAAACTGTCATGATTAGGAAGTGGCTCAAACTCAAACACACACAAAAAAATGATGCAGTGACTGGTTAGTGAAGTAATATTTGGAGCTGGGTGTCAGATATTTAAGTAAAGCTGGTACTGGTGACTTTAACATCTGTCATATCTACAAATCCAGTGCAACTAGGAAAACTATATCAGCTGACAAAGATCTTGTGATATAACTGAAAGCTCCACAAATGCTCAGAAAATGTGATGTCCCATTCTTAAGAAAGCGAGAAAGTTTGAAATGCCCGATTATATAACCCAATAACTTTCAACTGAGAGCACATTTCAATATTTCCAACGAAATGCAATTATAAGTAGGAAGCAGCAGCAGTTTGGCTCTAATTAAACGGTCATTTATTTGAAAGCGATGCACCAGATCCAACATAAATCTAGGGCTTTATCTAATTTTCATTTTCATCATTGATTCAGCTTTCGATTCATTAAATTGTGAGAAAAGCAACAAATTCTTACATTTTGAGAAGACAGCTACTGCTTCGTCTCGAGACGCGGTTAAAAGTCTGCCTTCAAAGCTGCAGACCCCAAAATAAAACAGCAAAGTGCACTTAATATTTTTAGGAAGTGGGTCGAGGCTTCAGTTTGTTTTGGGGGAGCGAACTATAAGAGGAGTGTTACACAATGCAGGGCTAACGGTGACCTTGTTGTTCAATCTAAAAAAACACAGAAGAGGAGAGAGGAGCTGGAGGGTGGAGCCCCGCTGGGCTGTGGGGGGAGTCGGGTGGAGAGAATCAGCTTATGGGCCTTCAGACGTGACAGGCCGGTCAGAGAAACAAAGACAACCCCATCTGGGAGAACGGAGTCAGAGGTGGAAGGTCAGGATGACACACAAACACGAACGCATGACACGGACACACAGGAGCTGCCTGCTGTTACCACCAACAGCCAATTACAGTGACGTCTCAGCGGAGTTCACATATCTACATATTCATCATCCTCCATTCATGCACCAGGCCAAACGGTCTCATCTACATTTCCACAGCTCTGCCACATTCGAATCACATGTCTGGTAAAAAGGTCAAGAAATAACTTGATTTCCAGCTCGTCTCCGTCCCGGCTGTATCTGCCTCTAGTGCACCAGAGGATCAGTGATGGACGGTAGCTGAGCACACGTCTACTCTGTTACACTTCACAGGGAAATACTGTCTGTGCTTTTTTTTTTTATTACTCTTTCGTGCAAAACTGAGAGTCATCAATACTTGAGTGCTTCCACTTAAGCGCAGCGGTGCTTTGAGCTAAACACCAACACACTGGCTGTGTTCACCGTCTCAGCTGGGTGTGTTAACATGCTGACATTTGCTAATTAGCAGTAAACACAAAATAAAGCTGAAGCTGTGTGAAATAATGGCTGCTGCTGCTGCTCGACGGTGTTAGTTTTTGCAGGTTTTTTGGTTATTAACTTGACTGAAATGTCATTAAAGTTAACACAATTCAACCTGAATTTATTACAACAGTATTATTGTTTGACAAAATATCATTGATTCATCAGTATTTCTCGTTATGAAAGAGTCTGTGCAATATTGTTGTATTAAAATATAATAATATAATACGTGCAACATCACTATTTTCCTTCCTTCTGGCAATAATACCTGAATTTCCACATTTGGTAGAATCTGTACAATATCAACAGGACTTCTTTATTTTTATTATATATCGACAATTCTATATTTTTATGTTCCCTACACATTTGCTCTTTGCTGTTGTACCACTGCAAAGGCTTATCCTAAAAAAACACGCATGAGAAGGACATAAATGTGAATTTAATAGCACACAGCTAACAGGAAAAGCTCATAAAATACGGGTAAAATCGATCAAAGTCTGAGCTTATAAAATTAAAAATTAAACCAGTGTTTCACAACTTTTCTGGCTGGTGAATAGTTTTCTCTCAGATGGTTTCATTTAAATATTTGCTAGTGTTATGGCCATAGACTGTATAAAAGATGGACGTAGCAACCAGCCCTGAAAAATGAAGCCAACCCGGAAGTGTCAAAAACCTGCAATATCACTACGTCCNGACAATTATCGTTGCTTTTCCCCCACTGTCTGTTAAACTGGTTATGATGCCGACATGTCAGTCAAGATGTGCAAACAAACCTTAAAGCATCCTGTTTCTGAGAGTGTTTCAGATCTTCTGAGTAGCCTTATGAGTGTTGAAGTGCAGTCCATATAAAACATAGTCACCGCTCTTGGAAGTTTTCTTTTATTTAATGGTTTCCAACATTGAGTCCTGGTCAGTTTGATTTTACTTTTTGATGAGAAGTTTGCAAGTTAAACCAGATTTCTTTAAGTAAAATGAAGTCACTGCATGAGTATTCAGCCCTTTTAACGTCACTCTTGACCTAATTCAACATAAGTGCAGCCCATTGGTGCTACAAGTCACACAACTGGTGAAATGAGATCATCTGAGTGCAGTGAATGTGTCACAAGTGATTTTAGTATAAAGACACTCGCATCTGGAAGGTCCAGTCATCAGTGAATCAGTGCTCCTGGTTCTAACTACACCATGAAGACAAAAGAAGGCTCCAAGCAACTTTTTGAAAAAGTCATTGCAAAATCAAAAGTTGGGGAATGAGTACAAGAAAATTCAATGTCCCTATTAATCCCTTAGAGTGCAATTAAATCCATCGTTAAGAAATGGAACGATTGTGGCACATTCGTATATCCGCCCAGAGCAGGCTGTCCTCAAACGGCTGAGTGACTGTGCAAGAAAGAGACGAGTTGGGTGGTCACCAAGACACATATGAGTCATCTGAAAGCTCCAGTAGCTGAGATGGGAGAGACTGGTCTTCACCAGTCCAAGCTTTATGGTAGAGCGGGAAAGGAAAACAACAATTAAAAAAAACTCATATTAAAGCTCAACGAGGGTTTACCAGAAGACGTGGAAGACTCTACAGACAACTGAAAGAAGGTTTTTTTTTGTCTGATGAGACCAAAGTTGAGATTTTTCGGCCGTCAGACTAGACCAGGGGTGCCTAATCCTGGTCCTCGAGAGCCCCTATCCAGCGTGTTTTAGATATTTCCCTCTTCCAACATACCTGATTCACATGATCAGCTCATCATCAAGCTCTGCAGAAGCCTGATAACGATCCTGATCATGTGAATCAGGTGTGTTGGAAGAGGGAAACTTCTAAAACACGCTGGATAGGGGCTCTCGAGGACCAGGATTGGACACCCCTGGACTAGACACTATGATTGGTGAACACCAAACTCTGCACTTCATGACAAACACGCCATCCCCATCATAAAGCACGGAGGTGGCAGCATCATAATGTGGGGATGCTTCATAACAGCAGGTCCTGGGAGGCTTGTGAATGAAATGAATGAAGCAAAATGTAAGTAAATCCTGGAGGACAACCTGATGCAGCCGGCACGAGAACCGCAACTTGGAAGAAGATTTATTTTCCAGCAGGACGATGAGCCAAAGCATCAACCAAAACTGGACAGAAATGGTTTACAGACAACAAGGTGAATGTTCTGGAGCAGCTAGTCCAGACCTTAACCTAAGGCTGTTTACGTACAACCTACTAAATACAAAAGAAGGGGGTTTTGAAGGGCGTGGATCACTTTTTCTTTGTTTTATATTTCTAATTAATTGACATTACTTTGTAGAAATTAGTTTTCATTTTAACACAAGTCTTTTTTTTTCAAATTCCTGACAATAAAGCCAATTTAAATTGACCACGATTCAATGTTGGAAAGCAAAAAAAGAGGAAATCGGACAGCCACAGAAATAAGACTTGTGAATTCAACAAGGATGATTAAACCAGCAAACAGAAAAATAACTGCTCAACGGTTTAAAGCCAGAAACAGCAGAATAATAATAATCCAAAACCAGACACACAGCCAAACGTTTCACAAACCAAAACCACGAGCAGCTTATTTGCCATCATTTAATTTATTTTTTTAATCAAAAACACTCCAGCAGAATGTTTGATTTGATCATAGAAAACGTACAGACATTTGTCTAAATCGAAAAATAGAACTCTCTTTGAATACAGAATCAGTCATTCAATCTTCAGTGTGCCAGAAAAAAAACAATAATAAAAAAAAAAGACTATTTTCCCTTCACCGTAAACATTTAAACACACAAAGACGACAACAGTTGAGAAGCAGCAGATAAAGACATAAACGGCAAATCAACAGTCAGATGAGGCGACAACAGAAGAATTTAAATCAGGTTCTTCATCTCATTTCAGAAACTGGACTCCTTTTTTTTAAATCACATATTGATGATTATTTCTCAGCTTCTACAGGTTTCACTCTGGATGCAGGTTCACAAAACATCACAGTACTGAAACTACACAGTTTGGAGAGAAGCATGATGTAAAATTTCTAATATTTCTGACAAAGGAGTGTTTTTTTATTTTTTTGGTTTCATCATAAAATATTTAACTGAGTCGTGCAATTTGTCCATTCCTCCAAACGTCTGGGAGTTTTCAAAATACTGATGAGAGAACAAACAAAATTCAGCCTGTTAGCGCATGATAAGTGAGTGGATGCACCGCCAAATTCAAACCACCGGGAGGCAGCACAATCAAGGCACATCAAACATGTTAAAGGACCACTGCATCAACAATGTCTGACTTTGCATAGAAACAAAATAAAAAGGATGAAAGTGGCCTGAGGCGCCAAAACCAAGAGTTTTTAGCGATTTATATAAATGTCAGGTGGTAAATAAGAGCAGAAAACATTTTCCTGCTGCTACTGAAACCTCCGAAACTTTGGGTTCAGGCGCTTCAGACCACCTCTGTCTCCTGAAACAACGGCTGAAAGAAAATGAAACAAGCAGGTTTTTTCAAGTACTGTTTCCATCTCATGTGCTTGTCGCGCTCGAGCTGAACTCCTGCTGCAGAGTCCTTCATGAGTGAATATAATTTAAACAAACTAAATCTGTGAATCAGTTAAATAACTCCACCTCAATGCCCCGAGAAGGCTTCAGAACGGCACTGGCAACGCGTATGTTGTGCAAAAAACATGTAGAAAAGAAAGTCCTCTCGTGGGGAAACTGATTTTGGTCAACAGTCGTGGCATAAAACACAAAACATGGAATAATCTGCATGTTTGCTGTGACTCTGTAGGCACATCAGAGCTTTTAAATCCATCTTTTTTGGTCCTCAAACTGAGCCGCCGCCGCCGCCGCCGTCCTGACAGCTTGTGCTCGTCTTAATGTGAAACTCGTCCTTCTGTCTTTCTCACAGGACAGTTTGCTAATGTTCCCCGATGGTTTCTTGTGGCGAGGAGAAAGAATGAGGGCGCCCTGTCAGGATCACAACGCCGCCTACCTCATGCAGCATTAAACAAGTCGATATCTCCCCCTCCTCTTCCTCTTCCTCCTCCTCCTCCTCCTCCTCCCTCTGTCCACTCACTCTCTGTTTTAACCAGCCTCCAACCCCCCTCCCCACCCCTCACCCTCGTTTAAGGCTCCTCAGTGCTGGTTTCACTTTGAATCTGGTTGAATTTAAGCAGACAAATGAAAAAAAAAAGCTTCAAAACATGCATTGCAATTTCCTCTATGTGACTTAAAGCTCAGTGTTAAGGACACCTCGGTGATGATCATTGATAAATTCAGCTCTGCAGAGCACTGTAGCACTGGACGAATGCATGAAAGCAGCAGCAAAGGAGGAGGAGAAGAAGAGTGGTGTGGAGGGATGGAGGGAGGGATGGAGGGAGGGATGGAGGGTGCAGCAGCATGAAGCACATCGAGGCAAAAAAACACATCAATCAACCGACCGGGAGCAGAGCTGCAGGACAGAGCAGGAGCCACAGCAGCTGTCTGAGGGAGGAAACCCACCAGCAAACACTCAAACACCGGCCACAGCAGTTTGTTCTGTTCAGTCGCTCCAGAACCTGGACGTTTTTCTGGCGCTAGATGTTGTAATTTTATATTTTAGAGGCACCACTTTCCACAGGATGTCTTGTATTTCTGCCAGCGATACACAAATGTAGAAAAAAAACAGCACCAAACAATAAAAAACTGGACCCTGTGATAAAAGGCGCCGTAAACAACCCGAGTGATAATTAGTCATGCAGATGGTTCAGCTTTCATTTGAGCGGCTTTTAATGTCTCTGAGAAGTCTGCCTAAACCACAATAACAGTTTAGAGAACGAAGCAAAGAACGCAAAATATCAAAAAGCAGCATCACTTGGTGTTGTCGTCGCTCTGGATGATCCACTGTGGACAATCAGTGTTCATTAAAACTACTTTAAGAAGCAGTCCTGATATAAACGGACGTCTTTTCACAACCAGAAGCACAAACAAACAAATCTGCATGATTAGGTTCATTTTGTCCACTCTGATTATAGGTATCAGGTTTCTTTTTTTTTTTTATCGGGAGCTGTTTTTACCTTTGACGAATCACTTCAGTCTTCCTCAGAAACGTCGCTTACGTCTGTGGTGACGTGTCTTTATCAGGAAACCAGAAAACCTTCAGCTGATACCACACACAGGCCTAAGTTTCTGAGGAAGACTGAAGTAACAAGTCCAAACATGTCAAAAAACAGCTTCTATCTAAAAAATACTCATTGTCTGATAAAAAAAAAAGAAACCTCATACCTCCAAACAAATCTGCGTTCATTGATTCTCGAGGCGACAGAGATTTTAAAACCTGCTCAAAGAAATAAAACAATTACGAGTAATTAAAGCCTGAGCGATGGTGGACTTCTAGGGCTGATATCAATTTTCTGTAGTCAGAAATTCTGATATTGTTTATACATGTTGATGAACTTTTAAGCACTGTAAATCACTAATTAGTTCATCCTTTAATGTAAAGACACTGGTTGACTCTGCACCACCGTCTGCTCAGCTGTGTGCTCTGCTACATGTGCTGCAGGCTGAGCTGACAGCAAACAAAGGAGCTGCTATGTGATGACAGTTTCTAAGTGATCCAAAGCATCTTTTTCTGCATTATGTTTTCTACAAGAAAGTTTTCAGACTGGCGAATATCGGACAACATACACGCCGATACCGATACAGCTGTGATGGGCCAACATCGGCAGAAAACATACCGATATATCAGTCGGGCTTTACCAGTAGATATTTAATGAAAAACATAAAAATAAGACGCTAACATTTAGACGGCAAAAAGCAAAACAGGTGGAGAAGTGAGAAAACCTGGAGTTACTCAAACACATTTTCCATCAGTGGGTTTTTGTTGTTTCATTTCAACTGTGTTTCAGTGTTTCATGGTAGATTTCTTCCTTTAGTTCTGCAGCACTCCTGACATCATATCTACATTAGTATCCGTCTCCTCATCGGGTAGAAAACAGATGATGAAGCAGAAACAAACATGAATCTGATTACTCCGACTGCACGTCAAATTAAGTGAACACGGTTGTTTACAAAAAACCTGGCGTCTGTTTCATTAAATTCACAACACGCGAGCTGCAACTTTCAACGTGAGATCCATTTTCCCTCGTTTTAATTTGGTGCTTTTAACTCCCCCCAAAACAAACACGATGATTGTGACTCCTGTAGGAACACGCAGGAGGAATAATATTGCAAATTTATCTGCAGTTTGTGAGCGACAATCATTTGCGGGATGCCGGCACCGTTTAGAGGCTCCCAAACTGCTTTTTGTGAAACAGGACGGGAGCCATCGAGACTTTAAGGCAACAGATCTGAAACCGTCTGGGACTCGGAGCGAAAGCACAACAAACGCAGCCTCCCTCTGACGGGAAAGCAGGCACGCGAAACAAGCTGCAGGACGACCGCTCAAGTGGCTTTTTGATATGTGAAAATAAATATTACATGTGCTTTGCAGGGGTTGGTGTTAGTTACACTGGAGTAAGAAGTCACTAATGTGCCACGTCAAAGCAGATCAGCGTCCCAGACTCAACAACGCATCCGTGAAGAGCTAAGCTGAGACTTTTGGCCTTAACTGATTATTTGAGGCTTTCTGTGTTCAGTAAAACAGTCGCGGATGGACAGAGCCATGATGACATCTCTGCAACCTCACATGTACTGCAACACACACACACACACACACACACATAAACACACACACAGAGTTTTCATCGTACTGCAGAGAAGCCATGAAGGCAAAAACAATCAAATCCTTTTGCCGTTGCATAAGAAGCTGTAATTCTGGCTTCAGCGCAGAGAAAACATCGTCCTCCATGCAGCAGCAGCAGCAGCAGCGAACGAGATGAAAGGTTAAAGATGGTGATGGATTTACTGTCTGTGGAGGTTAAACGCTTTATCGTGAGATGATAAAACATGTCGGTCTGTTTCTGTTTTTGCGTGCCGACGGTCCACGGCCACAGAGTGTTCAACATGAAATAAATAGAGGCATTAAATTATAATAATTATGAATGAATTATTCATACGTTTTTAAGGCTTGGCTCAATATTATGACATTAAATCATGCTTCTTTTCACAGAGTTTATTGCAGGTCATTTCTACTTTTCTAGCAGTTTTGCTCAAAATGTCCTTTTTCTGAACACTAATTGTCATTTTATTTGATTTTTATCACTAAATTTAAAAGGTGATGTATTTTTTAAATGTTGTACACAAGCCAAAAACATAAAAATATATGTTTTAAGTTGTGATTGCCAGATAAAGACTTCAAAATAAAGACAGAAGTTGGAAAAGTTTTGAAATAGAAAATATCTGCAATAAATGCTCTTATTGTGAAAAGACGCACGAGCAACTCTGGTTAAAGCACCAAGTTTTCTGATTACATTTAAATGTGTTTCTGTGATCATTTATTTCACAGGTAATGATTTATTTATCTAATATTGAACACTCTGGCTCCCCCCACACAGCGCCTTGTTAGAAAACCTCGTCCAACATCACAGCGTCTTCAGATGTTTTTTTTTTTTCCAGTCTGCTGCTGAGAGGATCCGTTAGCAGATCCATGTAAATGAGTCTTACATCCATTGCTTTGCTCCTGTACCTGGACCCTTCTGATCTGAAATGCTCGACTGTGTTTAATCAACACCATCAGCCTCAAACAGCAGAGATGAAAGCTGGCAGCGCTGCTTGTTCGGTTCATCCAGTGATTAATCTCGACAGGCCTCCGTGTACTTCTGCCTGCAACGGACCGTATTCCACCACTTCTCCATCGACTGTTATTATCCCTTTGGGTGAGTACGGCTCCAGCCTCAGCGCTCTCACCTTAGTGTGCACCAGATGTTGACAGTTAGTGGCCAGATGTGCGCCCTTCTCCATGGCCAGAAACAGCCTCAGCAGCGCGGTGCGAGATATCCCAGCTCTAACGTAGAAAAGGTGAATGACGCCGTCGTTCAAGGCGGCGTCCGGTGCTGCCAGGAGGTCCTCGGCCAGGTGGGACTGGTACATGGCCAGCATGAGGACAAAGTCTTCCTCGGGCACCACCACCCAGTTGGCGGGCAGCGGCTGGTCCAGAGGCACCAGCAGGGAGTCGGGCGGGCCGGCGGGGGCTTTGGTGGCGCTTCGGGAAGGCGTGCTCTCCGACCTCCTCACTTTGAGGGAGTTGTTGGAGTGGCAGGAGTTGTGGAAAGTGTTGTTGCAGGACGAGTCTCTGGACGGTCGGCACAGGACGGGGGCTGGAGTCAGGGAGGAGGCCTGGTTGTTGCAGTGGCCCGTCGTGTTATTTCTCAAACCCTCCTGGTTGTTGTGCTGCTTGGTGGCGGGTAGGTAAGCCAGCTTGCCCTTGTAGACGCGGAGAGAAGCCAGCCTCACCAGGGTGCCGACGGTGAACCGGGCGGCTCCGACGTGACGGTACTTCTCGCTCTCTATGTCGACGTCGGCCACGAAGCCCCAGGCCAGAGAGAGGAAGGAGAAGAGACGGGGGCTGGAGGACAGATGGATGGAGACCAGGTCCATACGAGACACCAGGCCTTTACAGAGCAGGAAGCCACAGCTGACCAGGAGCTCCTCGCTGGACACCGGAGAGGCTCTGGAGGAGGAGAGATGGGAATTAAATGCTTGCTTTTAATTTTGTGAACCAGCAGTGACATAATTAGCAGCAACGGTGCTAAAATGTCAAAAAAACACAAAACAATTTCAAGTTTCTGCTTCTTAATTGTGATTATTTGATGCCTTCTTGATCTAAAGTGTACATTTTTGGGTTTTGGCATTTGAAGATGTCCCCTTAAGTTTTAGAAAATTTACTCTTTTTTTTTTTTAAAGACCAAACTATAAAACTATTCAACAAGAAAACAACCTGCAGATGAATTTATAATGAAAACAATCAGTCTGACAATAAACTGTCATGATTAGGAAGTGGCTCAAACTCAAACACACACAAAAAAATGATGCAGTGACTGGTTAGTGAAGTAATATTTGGAGCTGGGTGTCAGATATTTAAGTAAAGCTGGTACTGGTGACTTTAACATCTGTCATATCTACAAATCCAGTGCAACTAGGAAAACTATATCAGCTGACAAAGATCTTGTGATATAACTGAAAGCTCCACAAATGCTCAGAAAATGTGATGTCCCATTCTTAAGAAAGCGAGAAAGTTTGAAATGCCCGATTATATAACCCAATAACTTTCAACTGAGAGCACATTTCAATATTTCCAACGAAATGCAATTATAAGTAGGAAGCAGCAGCAGTTTGGCTCTAATTAAACGGTCATTTATTTGAAAGTGATGCACCAGATCCAACATAAATCTAGGGCTTTATCTAATTTTCATTTTCATCATTGATTCANAGGAAGTAGCAAAACCCTGGCTTCATTTTCTCAGTGCAGAAACCAACGGGTGACGTCACGGTAGCTACGTCCATCTTTTATACAGTCTATGCTCTCGACCTACTTTTAGTCTTGTCCTTCCGGCCTCCAGTTACAGCTGATTGGACCACCACTCCTCCTCCTCCACCATCTCAGCAATCACCACACCTGGCTATAAAATCCACCCACAACCTTTCAGTTGGGGGCTGGCTGGGATTTAGTGTGAACAGTCAGTCCTGGTGCCTCTCGGTCTGTGACTTTTGTGTTAATGTGACTTCTGTTTCCATCTGTTTTTCTTTTATTTTTGTTACATCCAGCTGACCCTAGAGGCTGGATCCTGACAGTTAGAGAAACACAAATGAAAAGAAATTAAGAACGCTCTATTTTATGTAGTGGAGCTTTTTATCGTCCTCTTTCCACTTCAACATCTCACAACCCCACTGATTCATCTTGTAACCGTCTGGATGGAATCAACGTGGCCAGTATGTTTGGACTAAACTACCAAACTGTGAGCAAAATAGTAAAAGCCACATACAGTAATAGAACACTGTTTATGCATCAGAGTGTCTAAACAAAGACTCATTTTTGGGCTGGACTTTTACTTTTTGCAATGCTGTATTGTTACTTCTACTCGAGTAAAGGCTGTGTAAACTTCTTCTAAGTTTTTCATGTAGCATCTATAATTCCCAGGCGAGGGAGACTCTCCTTCACGCAGAAGTGTCGCATTATAAAAGAGTGTATATAAATATATATATATGTACAGTCTATGGTGACACCTGTCACTTCAGAACCCGTCAACAGACTCAATCTTTCCTCTTGCTGTGTGATGCTACAGCTTCTGCTCATTCTGTCTGTGCACAGAAACGCATTAAACTCTCAGAGGGTGAATCCGTACGTCGTTCCCAGCATCGCATACGACCAGATACATTCTAGCGGCCACTCGTTTGATCCACGTAGCCTCGGTGAACCCCACAGTCAGCTGGGAATAATACCAAACACAATCTGGCCAGGGCCACTGCAGGATAGCCTGCAGCAGCCAGAGAGAGAGAGAGAGAGGTTTTCTGGATGCCCCGGGAGTGAGAGAGGAGAGCAAACAATGCAGAGTCTGGTCCCTTCCTCTCATTGTGGCTGGCGCTCAGGCTGCAGGACCATTGTTTGATGAGAGGCTGACTGGCAGACGCAGCGGAGGTGATGAATGAATGCGCCTCTTTGGTGAAGACAGAACCATCCCAGAGAGGTGTTTTCTTTCATTTTATTTTATTTTTTGTTTATTTAGTTTGGATTAGGGCTGCAAGGTGGATCAGTGGTTAGCACCGTTGCCAGTTCGCAACCCGGTGAGGACACCCGGGATCTTTCTACGTGGAGTTTGCATGTTCTCCCCGTGCAGCGTGGGTTCTCTCCAGGTTCTCCGGCTTCCTCCCACACAGTCCAAAAACATGTTGAGGTTAATTGGTGATTCTAAATTGTCTGTAGGTGTGAATGTGAGTGTGCTTGGTTGTCTGTCTCTAAGTGTAGCCCTGTGATAGACTGGTGACCTGTCCAGGGTGTCCCCTGCCTTCACCCTGAGTCAGCTGGGATAGACTCCAGCCCCCCACGACCCTAGTGAGGATTAAGCGGTGTATAGATAATGGATGGACAGATGGATAGAATGCCAGTGAGGAAAAACAAAATCCAAGACAGCAGCAAAAGGCTTACATAAAAGCTGCTAGACACAACACACAGAAAACAACCACACTGAGATACAACATGACGGATTAAAAAAAGAAATATCACGGTGTGAGGACAAGATAAAGCTCATACGACCTACAAACAAAAGAGCAGCTTAAAAAAGAAGTGCCTCGGAGCACACTGGGTTTCTAAACTTCCTACGTGGTGACTTTAGAGTAGAAAGGGCAGAATACTGTGACACACCAACAGCAGCAACAGCTTCCACGCTGTGAATATATGACGAAGGCAATTTATATAAGAAACAGGTCAGGAGGAAACGTCTTTGTGAAACAACCTGCACTAAGCTGTGAGAAGGAAGCAGAACCATGTAAAGTTAAATAAAATAACTATTTGAGATTCACAACAACTTTGTGTATGAGCAACTGTTTCACCCCTGAACCCCAAATACGACAGACGTGCTATCTTTGATAAATGGTGTCATTTTGATATCATTTTGGGGGCCATAAACTTTCCAAGTTTCTGATGGTCCTTGAACTACTCATCTGTGATGTTGTGCTCTTTTGGGAAAATGATTCAAACCTAAGCTTAAAATTGTGATATTTCATCATCTTTATTCTACATGCCCAATTCAAAAATTCAACAAAAATAAACTATTTGCTGTAACCAGTTCCTACAAAACAAACAATTCTGAGCAACCATGAAGCCAACAGTGATTCAGCTGTGCCCAACAGTCACGTTACAATAATTCTGACTGAACTGGAATGAACTGAGCCAACATTTTTCTTCCAGTATCTGTAACACCTGGAGGCACTTGAATAAATGTTGCACATGTTGATTCCAGGGTTTTGAATGAAAAGGAAAAAACTAAATTAATGAAAGTCAACTCCTGTTTGTTTTTTGTTTTGTTGTTGTTGTTTTAAAAAATATTTTTGGCACTTTTATTTGGTCATACTGCACAAAAGACATTTTTTAGGTTTCCTGTACTTCTAGCTATGGTTGTGCTGTTTCAATGAGATACATGAGTAAACCCTCTGAAACATATTATTTTGTTGTCATGCAAGTGCAATAAAGAAAACTTAGTTATTAGCTTCAAGTGGATTTTTTCTGCTTCTTCTTCTCTGCCTCCAAATGTGACAGGAACAAAAGTCCAGAAATTTCTCGACTCCTCACTTTGATTTTTCCACACAAAAAGCTGAACATTCTCTGATTCAAGCACTTTTGCTTTTGTTATATGTGAAAATTACAACCTTAAACCTGAAACCTGACATCTGACATGATGTTGAAGCAAACATCCATCCATCCATTATCTATACACCGCTTAATCCTCACTAGGGTCACGGGGGGCTGGACTCTATCTCAGCTGACATAGGGCGAAGGCACAACCAAGCACACTCACATTCACACCTATGGACAATTTAGAACCACCAATTAACCTCAACATGTTTTTGGACTGTGTGGGAGGAACCCGGAGAACCCGGAGAGAACCCACACTGCACGGGGAGAACATGCAAACTCCACGCAGAAAGATCCCGGGTGTCCTCACCGCAAACGTAAATTTTTTATTATTTCATTCATTATTTAACATTTCACAAACCAAATGTTTCAATTAATCATGAAAACAATTGGTACATTAATCACCATCGAAGTAACTGTACGTCTTTACTCCACAGATTGTGGAGCTATCAGCGGTGTCGATGCCAAAAAAAGGATAAAATGAAGGAATATTAGAACACGGATGAAGCCTTTTACTCATGGCAGCGGGTTGTAATAGTAAGGAGAAACTGATGACTTTGCACACTAATGACCCACTTTGGTAAAAATGACTGTCCTATTTTATGTCCATGGTAATGATGAGGAAAGATGTAGCACAGACAGAGGGCATCAAGACCGAGGTTCTGTGCTGCTCTGTAAAATATTGCTTTATGTTTACAAAGTTGAGAGATGTGCACAACACTTCCTCTGTACCTGTGCAAATGGCAAATAAAAGTCTAATCTAGTGCGTCTGACAGAGTTGCTTGGTCATTTGTTTTTTCCACCTTCCTTGTCCTTCATTTTCTCCTTCCTGTTCTTTGTTGTGACCGAATGAACCCCAAACGAATCCCTCAAATGAGCCAGTCATTAATAATTTATTCAGATGAGATGAGTGCATTTTGCACTAAGAAGCAGCAGCAGGTCGGACCATGTGTGCCTGCGGCTCAGCTGCAGAAGTGACACTGCATGTGCAATCAAACCACAGAGCTACATCTTGTTAATTTAACTGTCTGGAGCCACAACTTCTGACAGAGCAGCAGAAGAACCTGTTGTTGAGACGCTGAGCAGCATCAGTGCTACAGGCTCCACTGAACCACGCTCAAGGGGATTATGGCCGTTATAGACACTCATTGTCTGCAAAGCTGCATCTGTACATAAGAATAAGAACAGACAGACCTTGTTCTGCTCCATTAGCTTCCTCAGTTGTTCATAAAGCAAAGCGAGCTCTGTCTGATGGGGAAGGCACGTTTTTTTTCTTTTGAAACGACCCAGTGCATAATCTGTTGTAAATCAGACACGTGTCCATGCGGCACTTGTGTATGTCATTTTCAGGTAAAAGAAAGCTACGCTGGTGGTTCGATCCCCGCCCCCTCCACAGTCAAAGCGTCCTTGGGCAAGACACTGAAGCCGAAGCTGCTCCCAATGGCAGGCTAGCGCCTTGCATGGCATCTCTGTCGCCATTGGTGTATGAATGTGTGTGTGAATGGGTGAATGAGAAACATTGTAAAGCGCTTTGAGTGCCGCAAAGGTAGAAAAGCGCTGTATGAGTGCAGACCATTTATCATTTACCAAAAAAAATAAATCTGACAGAGGTATGAATAATTTTGGACTTATCCGTTTGTATTGCAAAATGTGTGGCACAAAAACAAAACAACCAGCACTGCTCCTGGAATGACTCAGGACAGAATGTCATTGAACTGGTTAGACTGGTTTCTGCGTATCTGTACAATTAAGGTTTGTGACAATGAAATAATTACAGTACAAAGCATCTACAGCTACAATCCTTTAAAAGCTCTTATCTACAACAACTGATTATTTTAACTTTTGACGAAACTGCTGATTATCATCTTTTAGCCTCTAAAATGTCAGAAAATAGTTTTAAAAAAATCCTGTATGTAAAAAATAACCTCTCTATAGCAAAGAAAATCTTCAACCTTGAGAATCTGAAGTGTTTCAAATCAAATGGAACTGATTTGAAAGCAAATAAAAATGCAGAAGGTCAAGATGTGGCCTAGAAAGAGCGCAGTTTGAGCAGCCCTGAGATCAAAACTACACCAACGGATTCCTGCAGTTGCTGGGCAGAGCAACACGGGGCGCTGATGACTGATGCTTTTATTCATGTTTCTGCAGGTGACTCACCCTGAATAGTGATGGACGGAGGCAGCCAAGGCGTTGCCCGATCCACCTGGAAGGATACCCAGCGGCGTCCGGATGGCCTCCTCCCAGTCTGATCTCTCCAGCAGACCGTTTATAACCTGACACACGCAGAAAACACAGCTGTGGTTAGGTGGACCGACAGAAATATGTAGAACTACTGAGTCCGTCTGCGGTGCCAATGTCCCAGTACTGACAGAAATATGTCCACAGAGTGAACAAAAACTGTCCAGTAAGCTGATTCTGTCATGTTTACTCAGTTTTAAACAGTTACTGATTTAAATCACAGTATTGTTTCATTATTTAACAGAAACTATTGAGAAAAGTGCTGTATTGTGAGTTTAAGTGGTAAAACTTCACAGCTTGATGAAGAGTCTCCAAAGTTGTGAATTTAACTCACACTGTTTGGCAGACAGCTGTACTGAAATGATGCATCTGTAGGGAGAAGTTTCACACATCTGCCGACTACTGCAGCTACTTGTGTGCACTGTGAGCAGTGTTTAGTGTGTCAGGGTGGATAACAGGGCTGCTGACAGGTAATCTCTTCACTAGTCTGCTGATTAAATTGTCAGTTGATTGATTTGTCTGTTAAATGCAAAAAAAAAATAGCAATCAAAGTGTCCATATCTCATAGATATTCAGTTTACAATAATATAAACAAGGGAAAAGCAATTTAAGAGTTAGTTTTTCCTAGAAAATAATATCAAAATAGTCGCGGTTTCTTTCTCTGTCACTGGATTATTCAGTCATTCTTTCAATTTCAGTGTATTTCAGTCTTTAGAGTGAAGTAATACTTCACTTCATTTCACACTCATGAACAGACAGACACATGGTTATAATGCACTTCAATATTAAAAAAAATGTATAAAATGTTAAAAGAATTGTGCATATACTATTATATGTACACTATTATAGTAATACAGTCGTGACTTGATAATCTGACCCTTAACAATCCACAAACCTTGCTATCTGACAGGTGTTTGGGAAAAACGAACGGAGCCCATTAAAAATAGCCTTAACATACCGACAGTCTTGGATTCTGACTCCGACATGACATTTTATGTCACAAATCAGGATAACAGCGTATTATCTGACTGAACAATCCGACAGATTGGCTACGTTCAGACTGCAGAACTTAATCCTCAAATCAGATCTTTTTGTGAAATCGGATTTTTTGCGAGTTCGTTCACATTTCCAATTAAATGCGACTTGTATGTGATCTGCTGTGTGAACTTCACATGATCCAAAAGTGTCCCGCATACACAGAAGAGGACACAACGACGTCACACGCAACGGGCATGCTCAGTGTTTGCGGAAGTAAACACGGATGGTAACGGTGGAGCATATCTTGCCCGCCACTCCCAGAAACAGAACTGTGAGCACTAACTAAACCAGCATCAGCAGCCAAGTACTGCCTGTGTGTTCCGGCCATTTCCACCCCAGAGGTGCGCCCCAACGGGGTGGAAGTGGCCGGAACGGCACAAGCGCACTGGTCAATTAGGCGTGAAATCCAGTGATGCATAGTGTTCTAACAATACACTAGTTATTATAACAACTATAAACAATAAATATTAACAACAAATGAGCCTTCAAGCATCAAGCCCTCCTTGTATCTGACCTCCGTCTTGACAATCCGACAACCTTGCTATCCGACATAAAAGAAGGTTTTACATTTAGTGTCATACTGTTCATACTTTGACAATACATACAACGCCGCTCATCAGTAACCAGATCTGTAGACTATCTTATATAAATACTGAACAACAGCACCGCAGAGTGATTTTTTACTGTGACTTTATCATCCTGCACCACATAGTTTTGTACTCGGGTATGAATATAGTGCACATGTGTCTTTGTTCACCTCATACAGAAGTCCATCTCCGGACATGATGACTAAAGCATCCCACTGCGACAGGTCGGCCTCTTTCACCATCTCCCGGGCGTGATTCTGCCGCTCTGCAAAACACACACACAAAAAATCAAAGTGTGTTTTCATGACTTTGTGTCTCCCCTGTATGAGAAAGTGGGACACCTTCTGAGAAATGTGTCCCGTCAGCTTCCTTCTTCCTCACAAAACGTCATGTTGGCTCCGGTGGAGGTTTAGTTACATATGTTCCAGTTGGAGTACATCCAGTGTGTGTGCAGTAAAGTAAGTGATCCCTATGACACAAATATGTACATCAGATCTAAGTCATGGTAAGATTAGGCTCCTGGTCCTGCTTAGTTTTAATCTTACTTCCTTTTCCCCCTTCAGTTCCCAAATTAAAGTATCGGTTTTGTGAGGGAAAGTTGATATATGGTCTTAAGTGAAGCGTCTACCGAGCTGCCAATTACATCGGGACAGCTAAATTACTCAGGAGCACTTCATCAAATTAGTCTGAGGCTGAATGATCTCAAGAAGTGGGACGGTGATGACAGGACGAGCTGCCTCTTAAGGTTAGCTTTATCAGTCACTGAAGGCTGCCTGCATCGCCTGTCGACAGCAACGGGGCTCTCAAAGCAGGATCAAATAAATTATAATCAAATTTGTGGCAGAGGTGCCTATTAGCATAGAGTATATTACCATAACGTTATGTTACAATGATTTCCCAAAGGCCTTCTGGAATTAACTTTGTGCTAACCGGAGATAAAAACGGAGGCAGGCTGTCATCAGAAAAGTTTCAGGTAATTAATTCAAATTAATTGCTAAAAATCTATCTACAGGAAGGCATAAAGTTCAGTATAAACGAAGAATAAAGTTTATAATAGTAAAAGAATAATGAATATCACAGATTAGTTTTAGCCGAATTACAGTGCAGCTTCAGGAACCAGCCTGGTGAATTATTAGAAAACGCCATCCCCTAGAAAAAAGCATTATCAATGTACTGTGAAACTCGAGAAAGAGAAATTGTGCATTTCTATACAAGACTGTAAGAGATAGAGATAACTGCAGTGATAGTAAAACATGTGAATAAATGTTTTTCCTTGTTAAACAAACCTTAAACATCCTCATCAGTGCCAGAGGCTCTGAAAACATCTTTGAAATGTGCCGTAATTTATCTATTGATTGAGTTTAGGGATAAAGACGATGCTGTATAAACAGCTCTCAGCTCGCTGCGTTTACCGATTAAAGCTGCTCGGTCTGAGGAAGTAAACACTGAGTGTTTCAGCTGCTGCTGGAGGCACACGATGCTGCTCTGTTGTGATGTTTTGGTGCTTCAGGCAGAATATAAAGTATGAATTAAAGCTCCTCTCTGGTCATTGATTAAACCCCTAAAAACTCCTCTCTGCTATCAAACTTACATATTTAGATTCTTTCATGAATATAATCCCTTCCTACTTTAAAGTGGCTTCGATGTCACTCTACAGGGCTGCTTCATCTAGAATGTGCAGAAATATAAAACCACTGCTTCTCAGAATCTACTGAACACAATGACAAGCAGTAATAACTTAGTAATTCTTCTAAATGCTGCATGTATAAATACAGCTTCTCTCTCACCATCGACATACATGCACACCAGGACCCTGCTGCTATGTGATGCTGCAGGGATTGATCAAAGAGCCCATGTTGTGCTTTTTGTCTTTTTCCCTTTCCTTTACTGTGTTTTATAGCTTTTTCTGTGCATGAAAAATGTCTGTAAAGCCCCAAGTAAACTCAAAATGGGGTTGATTTCTTCCACAGAAAACACTGCTCTCCTTTGGCCCCGACTCTTCTACGTCACCCTGTAACACATTTAGCTGCCAATCGGCTAGTTTGGTGCCCATTAAAACAAAACAATGAGCAACTACCTCACAGTTTGCCATCACTTCCCCACTAGAGCCTCCTCTACTTTGGTACGCAACCAATGTAACCCGACCGAAACCATCCACTGAACTCTTAAACCCTAACTTGTGTTTACACGGAGCAGATAGAAGACAAGTGTGGCAACATATTAAAAGTGTTTTTCTGTCCAGTTTGGCAATCGCTCTGGGAGATTCAACTTTTAATGAAATTGCATTCTAACTTTGACTACTTGTAGACATGGTTGAGCTGATTCCACAGAGGTGCAGGACTTTATATTGCAGTGAAAAATGAGCTCACAGTGCGTAAAAATGTGACAGAAGCAAAAGAAAAAACACCCAGAAACTGCTTGGGCTTTAGGAGGTTAAAGCATTTCAGACAGAGGATGAGACGAGGGGCAGCAGCAATGCACAGGAGAAAAAGTTTGAAGCATGTAAACATATTCTAGTCGACCTCAAACACAAAATCAGAAACCTTTAAATGGGCAAAACATCATAAACTACAGCAGCAGGCGTGTTTTAGGAAAACTCTGAGGCAAGAGGAGACATCACCGGTGAGTGATGTGAATATGATCGATGTCTTATCGTATCTACACGAGAGCTGACTGATACACAAACTCTATCTGGATGTGTGGGGGTGTGTAGATAGAAGCAGGGAGGAGGAGACACATTTGTTATGTTTTAATCAGTGTAGTTTTATTTTCTATTTCATGCAGACGTCACTTATTATATTTAGAATGTTACTTAACAGGAAACAGCTGTGTTAATGATAAAAGAAAAGAATTTAAAAGTATTTTCCCTTCTCTTTCGAAGCAAAAATCTAAATAAAATCTCCTCCTGCACCTTAAGATGTTCTTTACTGCCTATGAGTCTTACACCCATAAGAGTTTCTTCAGGTAAACAAACTTAAAACTGTCGGCTTTTCAGGCCTGCTGTCAAGTAAATCTGTCACTCGCTTGTCAGATTTTTTCATCTAGATTTTTTTCGAATAAACCTGTTTCTTTAGAATGTGATTTTTTTTTAATATCTCTGTTTGGTGTGCCTTTGCAGGGTTGCATCTCTGTCTCTCTGTCTGTGCTTCTGACTGAGACTCCCCATCCTCCGTCTGAAGGTAAAAGGGCAGAAGCAGTGCTGTGAGGTGTGAAAAAAAAACAGTCAAGTGCACCGGAGCGTCACAATTTCAGTCTGTACTCTCTTCACCCTTTCACCTGGTGAGGCTCAGCAGCACAACAAGCTCTTTCCTTCTATCTCGCAAAACTTTCACCCCTTTTCTTTCTTCTGTTTCTTGAAAAAAAAAACAGCATTTTGTGTTTTTATTTTTTATGATAGGAAGCTATTGTACATGCCACACAAAAACAAACACGGTGGTGATGGATGGTTTAAACGAAAACTGTCTCCATCAGAATAAGAAATAAGATGGAATAGTGGTTGTAAAGCTGCTATCTGTGTCTCCTAAAAGAATCAAAACAGACGAGCGTTTAGGAGTACATCTGCAGCACAGTGTTTATATTTAATACTCTTAAAGTGTCAAAATTCTAGCGAGGTTTGAGGTATTAGGAACATCTTCAAGCCAAAACACGCTGGTTTGCAAAAGTTTCTTTTAAAGGACCAGCTGAACATTTTGTAAACTGTCCTTAAACTCTTTGTTTTCAAGAGTTAAATGAGAATATAGAAACAGCCGTCATGTCTGCAAGGCAAATCTAGCAGCTGGTTAGCTTAGCTTAGCATAAGGATGAGAGAAAGTGGAATCTGACTCTGTTTGAAGTTACAAAAATTTACCTACAATCACATATAAAACTAAAGAGTGCAACACAAGAGTCTTCATGTACACCCAACATCTGAGGAACTGAAGACTGAATGGATCACATTTATTTTTGATGGCAATGTCAGGACACAAGAAGTGGAATCCTGAGAGTCACTTCATTGAGTGGCTAATGTGGTTAACATTACCATTAGCTCTGATCATAGATCCACAGGTCAGAGCTGTGTGGAAATTCAATTTCTGTGGAATATATGTAGAGATGGTGGAAATTTTAAAAGTGAAACGAGGACTGGGTGGGTCACTGTGTTTTTATGTTGTCTGTTGCAACCTAAATTCAGCCCATGTTTCTGTCTGTTTGTGTCTTCCCTGCCTCTCTGCTCACATATACTGCATTTTAAAACAGCTGAATTCCCAATAATGCTGTTCTAAAGCTGTTATTTGTTGTTTGTATTGTCTGACAACAGAATGAGTAAAGAAAAAATACTGACTAAAACACAGCTTATTAATACATGTTAACCAGTAGTCATTCATAGTCATATTCAAGCTGCTGCTGCTCTGCAAAAATACTGATGGTGTAACCACAGCTTTGTCTGACAAACTCAGCACACACACACGATTTAAAAACAACAGCCTCATGTCAAACAATCGCTCAGAGATAAAGTTAGGAGCGACAGAAAGTTCTGGTTTCACACACTCATTCACATCTATGGAAGCTGCCACACGGTCAACCGTTGCTCTGAGCTGTCAGTTATTGACACAAGGAGAGAGTTGTACCTGAAGGGAGCATGTTCAGCAGGAGCTGAGCTGCATTCAGAGCTACAGACATGAAATCAGGAGTTATACAGTCATGGTAAAACAAAACACCTTTGCATTATTTAGAGCTGAAAAATAATAAAGAGACATTCCTGGGACAAGTGAGACTTTATTATGTTGGTGAAAAGGGGCCAAATATGTGACCTTTAGAGACTGTTCTTCCTTCTTCGGGCACATTGCAAGTACCAGAAATCCATCAAATGTTTAATATTTTACTTTTTTGTTGACACCTCTAGTGTCAACAAAAGTTGATAAACCTATTAAATGACAGCAAGTCCTGCAACAGCAATGCAAAGTTATGTATGTGACAAGGCCTCCATCCATCCATCCATCCAT